AAAAAAAAAATTATTTGTCTTAAGTATTAGTTACATTAAACTTAAAACACTTGAAATGATGATAGGTGACAAAAATAATATTAAGATATTTGATTCAAAACTTATTTTCTAAACTTTGCGTTTGAAGGTCTCTCCGTTCTTTTTAATAAAAGGTAGGCATAGATGATTAGGTGTTGATACCCTACTAAAGAGATAATGAAGTTCAACCTATCCCTCCTTTTCTACCTATTGAGGTAAGTCATTATGTCTCCTTCATCTCGTACTTATATAATCTCCAATTACATATATCAGTTGCACCAATATTTAATTTCTTTATCAAAACCCTATGCAAGACGTATGTAGTCAAAACTAATTAATTAATGATAATACAACGCAAAATTTAGGACAAATCAATGGTCTCTATCAATATTAAAACCATAATAAAACTAAAACTTCAATCATAGAAGCAAAAAGAATGACAAACGATCACATAATTTCATAAATTCCGTCGAATACTTTACAGCATATTCTAATTATACTGTACATTAAATCAATTTATAAAAAAATAAAAACAAAATCTATTTTATAGAAGATATTTGTCTACCAGCACTGCATGATGTAGGAGGATTCTTCTGAAAAGCATTGAATTCCTTCAATATCTATTTTGATACCATAAATTTACCCATTTTAACCGTAAAAATTGAAGAAAAATACAATTGAGAGAAATTGGTGTGAGTATGGGGATTGAGGGTGTGGTAGAAAAGAAAAATTAACGATTATGATTTTACGTTTAATAATTTAAGATAATTTTTATATTTAAACTTAATTGACAATATATTTATTATTATCACATTTTAAGTTTTTTTTTTTTTAAATTTAAATCGATTCAAATAAATATTCATATCGTGAAATATCGAATCAAACGAAAAATTGTACGAAAATAAAGTTCGAAAAAAGAACATTGGAATGAAGTTGTGATTGAAAAGAAACATAAACAATCACGACTTTACGTTTCACAATTAAGGTAAAATTATTTTTGATATTTAAAATTTATCGATCATATATTTATCATAACCGCACTTCAACATTTTCAACAAATTTTAAATTTCTTAAACGAATATTTGTAACTGAAAATACTGAATCAAACGTAAAAAGATAAAAAAGGGGCTCGGCTAACAAGGCTCAACCAACTCGACTAGGTTTCGATGGCCAAACGGCTTGTGAATAGTGAAAAGAAAACCCACTCTTTTATTTATGTAGGACAATAATGTCTGCAGTAGATGGTGAAAGAAAGGCAATCCTCCAAGGCATCTATCCTGCTTGGAATCGCCTCACATTTTCACTAATCAAGATTTATGACGAGCGTTTTCCTCACAAAATCGATATCTAGCGAATAACTTTCGATGAAGACTATTTTCTAAATACGTGCCTATTCATATAGTGAATACAATTCAAAATGGCAATATATCATATAGTAAAATACTCTAAATGTAAAATCATTCATCGTATAGTTGCAAGCATTCTAATTCTTTTTTGTGACAACACAAACTCCACCATCATGGCATGTACTTTTATTCTATACATAACAATTTGAAGCGGGTTCAATAATTTATTGTGCATATTTTTCAAAATGGGGTAAAATAATATCGCTCGAAATTAATAAAAAATAATTCCGACCTCGACTTTAGCTGTCAAAGAATTTTAAATGAGTTCTTAGAGTTTGTAGTTTAAAAATAAATATATTAACTGCAACTAGGTGTGTTTGAACCACATTATTTTAGAAGAATGTATTCTGGAATAATAGATTGATGGAGAATTTGTGGTTGAAAAAGAAGGAAAAGTTATTGATGTGATGGAAAATATTATTTTATTGAAGAATGTGTGGTTGAAAATGAGTAGAAGAATGAGAATGAAATTTTTAATGT